AAAAGACTTTGAAATAACTATTTTGAGAACATGAATCTTTTTAATCAGAACCTCCAATTCATAAACTTGCTCTAGGACAGACTTGTCATCAACCAATTTATATTCTAGATATTTGGAAATTAAATACTTGTTTGTACCTTCCTCCTCGGTTTTGTATTTAAATTCCAGTGCATTCTAGATTTTTCCTTGCTGGCTTTATCCTCGTGAAAAGATCATATAACCAAACTGAAAGTGTGTTCAAAATGTGACTGCGACACAACACTTCATCTTCCTCCCGTTTTGTCTTTTGCTTATTGATTTCTTCTATTTCCTCTTCAGTAGGTTGGTTCCCTTCTACACTTGGTTTTTATTCTTCTATAGGCTGCAGGTAGGGATTGAGGATGTATGAGATCTTCAATGTTGTAAGAAGGAACATCATCTTGTCTTGCCAGGGACAGAAATTATTCCCGTCGAATCAGTCCAATTTGACCATATCTTGATTCATCATCTTGATTGATTCTGATTTTATTGGAGCAGAAATATTTCTTTAAGATTGCTAGAAAAATTATAAAGGAGACAGAAATTTTGAGGCGTGAAACACTTTCCTTAACCACTTGATATTCAAAGTTACTTCGGATTAATGTAAATTTTCTTCCCAGGATACAACAGAAAATAAAAATTCCAGCAAGCAAATCTGGAATTTTTCACTAATTCATTGTGAAACAAGTTTATAGTATTGCAGATGTTTTTTACAAAAAAGCTTTGAAAAAAATAAAGTTTAGATATCTCAAATAAAAAACTATTTATATGTTTGAAAAAGTGCTTCCAACAGTCATAACTTTTCAAAACACCCCTTGGAACAAACAGACACTTTTCAACAGCCACTTGTCTATTCATATTTTCAAAAATTCAAAATAACATTAAAAATAATTTATTCAAAATATATATATTAAAAAATAGAATATTAAGTGATAGCGGCAAGCGTGCAAAGTGCTAAGTGTGTCTAATAATCGTGTCAAAATCGTGCATTATTCGCGCTACCCGCATGCCGATTTAGAAGCTTGTACTTTGATCCATTTATCAAACCCCAATAATCATTAAATGCTTTTAAACTTCTAAAAGAATTCTCAAATATCCGATGTGGGTCTATCTTGTATTGCTTTTACAAACAAATACTAACAACATATCCGCTATTAAATTTATGAGTTTTTCAATATATACCCCCTAAATCGAAAGTATCTTTAAATTTTCCCCTCAATTCATTATAACTCTTAATTTACCCGTCAAATTATTTTCTTCTATCAAATTTGCCCTCCATCTTAACCACAGTTAGGGCTGTGCAATTGGTTGGTCGGTTCGGTTTTTGACCAAATTTGGCCAAACCAAACCAAATTGCCTTATCATTCAAAACAAAACCGAATCGATTCAAGTCGGTTTGGTTCGGGTCGGGTCGGTTTATTCGGTTTTCACTTGGGTATAAATGTTATGTTCAAATTCAATTTTACATCTAATCTGTTGACGAAGAAAGAAGTCTCTTACACTTCAATTTATTGAAATTCATAAACTATCTAATGCTACTGAATATTAGATGTAGAAATCAAAATCTTATTCCTACCAAAGCTTACATATTTTTTTAGAGAAAGCTTATATAAAGAATTAAAGTGATCTCAATCTGATAGACAAAGTAAATAAAAAATATGTAATAATTTAGATGTTAGGTATAGTTTCTATAAAATTATAAGTCAGATCCAAATAGAAGTCTGATCCAAAGATGTATCAATCGAGGAGAAATATCAAGAAAATGCTAGAATCAACATTATGATTAAGTTTTTTACCTCCAAAGTGGATTAGTCCAACGTAGAAGCAGCAAATAGATAATAAAGAGGGGTAGAGAACTAGAGATAATGAAAAACCCTAGAATTTGGAGAGGACACTATTGTTGGGTTATTTTATTACTATTAGGTCACGTGAGAGCAAAAGATATCAGCAAAGTAACTCTATATGAACTATAATGGGTCGGGTTTAAATTATTGCAAATAGTAATTAGAATATGTAATACAATTCGGTCGGTTCAGATTGAAAAACTTCAACCCAACCTGAACCGAACTCTAGTAAAAATTGAACCGAACTGTCAAATTTTGACCGGTTCGGCCGGTTTGTTCGGTTTGAACCGAACTATGCTCACCCTTAACCACCGTTAAAATCTGAACATTTTCCAAAGTTAATTAACGTCAGTAGGTTGGTAGCGATTCTAAGCATTACAGATTTTTTAATCAAAAGTAATATTATCAAACTTGACCATGCAAGGAGACTGCAAGAACTTAAAAATGAGATACTTTGTTTCATAATTTCCTCTATTGTGCAAGCAATTGTAATAGAAATCAGATACTTTGTTTCATAATTACACCTGAACTTTTAGGACCTAAGGGCTGAACTTTGAGATGGTGTGATAGGTTGCATATTTTTATCATCTATACAAGTTACTCTTGATCACAACTGATTCTCTATTAGTTTTTCTCAAAATATCAAAGGTTATTAGATTGAAATGTCTTGATTAAATATCATTTGACATTTTTATGCTTAATTATTTTTTTCTGAACTGATGAAGCTCTTTATCCCTTTGATAGACAAATACAAACAATTTTGACTTACTGGAAATCAAGGTGGTTTAGTTGTCAATGTAAGCTGAATCTTAACAGACCTTATTACAATGTTGTGTGCTGGAGGAAATTGACCAGAACTTTAAAATGTAATGCATAAGTAAGTGTAAAACCCATAGTACAATATCAGATGTAGACAAATTGGCAATCACAAGCATTTCACACTTTATCCTCATGATACTAATATCCGATTGTTTCCTGATAAAAATTTGCAGACACTCAAGAAGAAGCAACAAGAGCCTATAACATCGTTGCCCTTGAATACAGAGACCTAAACTATTGGAAGCTTAATATCATATAATTAAGTAGTATCATGTTTCAATTATAAAAGCTTGCATATCATGTAGACCCTAAAAGCTTGCGTATCATATACAAGACGTTCTGAATTTTTTGTCGATTGCAACATAAGCCCTAATTTCATATAAACCCTAATCATAAAAGCTTGCGTACCATGATCTAATTAGAAAAAGGAATCGATTTTTTAATCTAATTACAAGCAAATGAAAGGCTTGATCATCAACTTCATTTAAAATCCAAAGCACTAAAGTTATATACTTATGCCCTCGCTAGATCATTGTTTAACCATATATTAGTTTCACTTAATCACGTATAATAGTACTTGCCACAATTTAAAATTTTATAATTTTACTTGATCTCGTTGACGACGCCGGAGGAGTTGATGAAGTCGGAGAAGATGACACGGCGGAGACAACGCACTGGAAGGGAAGAGGCTCAGAGAGGAGAGGCGAAGAAATTTTCTACTAGGGCGGAGAAATTAACCAGAGGGAGGGGGCGGAAGAGCTGTTCTTCGAAGGGAAGCAGTGAAATTTTAGGGCGGAGAACTTTTTTGCCAATTGTTATTCTTTTCGATGTGTAGGATAATTTTAGGACGGTGAACTGATGGTTATATATATAGGTAGTATTGTGGGGTAATTATGACAAATTATCCTAATTCTAATTCTAATAGAATTCTACTTGACTAACGCATCAAAAGAATAATATAATTCTAGTTCTACAAAAGTTCTACTTGACTAACACTACAAAAAATTATCCCATTTCCTAATTCTATGTGACTAACACCTTAAAAATTTATCCTACAGATTATACCAGTTCTAGTTTTAAGTTCTAGGTGACTAACACA